ATAATTCTTAATTAATTTAATCTTCGAAAATATATGTTCCACTAATGCAACTGTGACTGGTAAAGTGAGATATATAATACAAGGACTTAATACTTCACAATATGTGGTACAAAAATTCAGTTTGTTGAGTATTTAATGCTATTTTTACATAATATTATCTACATAAAAAATATAGTGCGGACTGCATGGTCTGCAGTTCTGCACGYACTACACACTTATAGTACGTACCTATTAATTATTGATTATTACTATTTTATTGACATCACAACTAACTGTGTTAAACATTTTAAATGATCTCAGATTTTATTTAATTCTTTAGAATTAAAAATATCCTTCCAGGTTACACCTATAATGGGCCCCCCTTGAGTCTTGGGGTTGGGGCCCCGATGCTAGCCATCCGCCCCGGTTGTTGCGGCACTGGTATGGTTGCCCAACKAATCATGATAAAGACGTGTCTACTGAAATAACTATTAAAAATAGCTGGAAAATTAACCACTAGCGCTTGAATGTAACAGTGGCTATAGTTTATAAGCTCAAATACCGTGCAGAGTGGCGACTGGCGAGTGGCACACATCATGTCGCAAGCGCTAGTGGTCAATTTTTCAGCTGTTCTGGTTATTTAATTTGGTTGTCAGTTTAAAACGATCTTATCATAGGTCGTCAGGCAACCATACTATCTTAAATCGTGGTAGTAATTAATTATTTTAYTATTAATACAGTTTAAGTTGAACTTATAATTTTCAAAAATATCGCATACCAATAGGCATAATATGGACATAATAGACATATTATATATTCGTATTAGTATGCATGATTATTTATTATTAAGTTAGATAATATTCTAGTCTGATATTATTCTTAATATTATTCTTATTTTTTTCATTTACCTGTAATGTAAAGCACAATTCTGCATAGTACCTACATCTACGTCCTATCTACTGTTGTGATTGATTATATTACTATTGTTATTTGTTATTATAACGATTTGACGATTGTAGTCTGCAYGTATTTTCTTCGGCCCACGTAAATATTGAAGGTAGAATAATMATTTATTTTAATTTTAATTTTCACGCATTATCTCTTACTTATGTCGTTTAAATAGACACACACACACATGAAAAAATTGTCATCAACAATACCTGATTAGCGATACTTGTGATAAATGACTTGACATCAATGGATGTTGGACACGACAGCTGGCACGGCGCATGTGCACATTTGAGGCAACGCCGGGCCTCGCGAACAGCCGCCTTCTCGCCACCTCGTAGCGTGCTGGGTTTGATGTCTGTCCACCACTTATTCCACAGGCCGCTGGCACACCCATCCACGACGCCTGCAGTATCCTGCACATATTATTCACAAACAAATAAGTACGATAACCTACGACCCAATGACTCACATAGTTACAATAATAACTTAATACCCATGTATGTATATGTATAATATGCATATGCACGACTTTTCGATCACTCTGTGTCATTTATAATAGGTACCTAATTTCCCATCAAAGTCTGAAACAACATTTCTTCGGTTTTAAAAAATTGTGTAAAAAATAAAATATCAAAACCAATAGTTGATATGTTGACTCACAAGTCACAATATATTGTATCAGGAAATAAGATACATCGAACGATTTGAAATCTAGAGCAAAAGAATGTCTTTTGAAATTATCGATTGAAAATCAGTGGCGGCTCRTGCCTAGATTAGATTAGCAGACTGCAGGTGTATGCACACCACATAGATCAATATAGATATACATATACGTAATAGTGAAAATGTATTATAATAATAAATTAATTTTATTACAATACCTGTTAAACTATATTTGTTAAATAAAAAAATTTAATTTTAAAAACCAAAACACGACAGTTATTATTATACTTCTAAAATTTAATAGAGTTATGTAACAAATACACTTAATTGGTGTGCAGCTCAGAGTGCTCAGACTGAACACCGTGTCTGTCCATGCAAAATACATTTGGTTGTCAAATGGAGAATCGGCAGTTATATATTAATTATATGCGACATTGGTGTGCAACTTCTACTGCACACTCGTCACTGCGTCGTCACCACACGTGATGAACACACACACGGTATCGCGCTTCATAGGCTTTAATTYGAAAACTCCTCCGTTTTTCTATTTTTATCATTAATATTATCCTAATTAATGTATTATTCCATTTTACCAAATTAAAATGTTAATTGTCACTGTTTTCAGTTGTTGTTAGCAACAAAAATGATTATACTGTGTACTACAGCGTTTTTTTGCTTCACCTAGGCCATTATGTTATTTTTATTATATTTTAATCATGAATTCGGTTGATTATCTTTTGGAAAAAGTTTTCTTTACATACACAATACACTATATGAAAATATAATATTAAAACATTAAGAAGGCCTATATTGCTGGTTTAAAATTATCACAGATTATTAAAAACCTAATATTACTTATTACTATACCTATTTAATACGTAATAATGTTTTCTAAAACTGTATATCAAAATTTAAAATGGTAATAAATATTTTACTAATTAAATTTTTTTTAGAACTGACTATTTTTTTTTTTAAATACAATTTTGCTATAATCTCACACCGCCTACTTTGAACACCACGAGCCGCCACTATTGAAAATCGATATTTTTTAATATTATGAAACATGAAACATATATCATAAAAAATTCCCCYATGGTAGGGTAAAGGTGAACATTTCCTGATGTACCTAAAAAAACCTGTTAAAAAAGGCAGATAAT